AAGTTTTACCGATAATCAAAAAACCAGTTCATTGGATCGAATTGAAGTGGTGATACTCAAATTTTTTACTACACTATTATTTATGATCCATTCTGTGTTTATACAATGACTTACACCGAAAAATAATATTCCCTCTATAGTATGCTAACTCATCCTTCTTTGATACGAAAACAAAGTGTATTTCAAGTAGTACCTAGATAGTTATTCACGGTACAGTTGGAAGAGATTACTTCTATTCATATTGATTGGACCGATTACAGTGACTACATAATTTAATCAGCATAGAAGAATAATTCACGGAGTTATTGAGTCATATAGATATAATTTACTTTCACAAGTGTCCTACTTCTGTACGTTTCTACCTTGTCTCGATATTATTATAAACACGTCAGAATATACGTGTGAGTATGTATAATATTCATCTTCCATATCCATTTATTTTCTTATACGATTAGTTTTCGCTTCTCTGATAATGAATAGTGATAGACATCGATATTGATAAGAGCTAATATATTTCGCTACTACTCCTAGAGATCCCTGATTCTTAATCTTCAGTTTGTTCACAAACAATCAATCTTAGTTTTTTCTTATATAGATATTCCAAAAAACAATCATAGGACTGGTAAAATGAATAAAACACACAAAACAGTGAATTCTATAACAAACGCCTGGTCGATAACTTCTAAACCATCAGTATCAACTAAAAAACGTGAACGAGCTGGTTCAGTTATTAAAGAATTTAGTTTGAACACAACAGCACATGGTATACCAAGTATTGCTCGTAGTCATAGTACTCATAATTGTGTATTTTGGATTCTATCATCATTAGTTTTTCTTGGTGCAATGATATATTTTGTTACTGAATCAATTACTGCATATTTTCAATATTCAACACAAACGTCTGTAACAGTTATTGTTGAATGGCCTCAAGCTTTTCCTGCAGTAACAATTTGTAATTATTCTCCATTACGATATGATCGATTTATAAGTCCTTTTTTAAACTATACAAATGCACGTAATATAACAAATACAACTAATACAACTATTTTCACTACGACACAAGCTTCCTATATTCAAGAATTTCTACTTTATAAACTCAATCAAAATGAATCTTTAAATGATTATTTTTATTCACTTGAATCAATGATGATGTCTTGTAATTATAATAACATGCCATGTTCGACAACTAATTTTACTTGGTTTATATCACCACTCTATGGTCTCTGTTATACATTCAATGCTCTATTAAAATCTACGGGTCAAGCTGGTATAAAATACAATGCTGATAATGGAGCTAATGGTCTCCTTGAATTAAGTTTCTATGTACATCAAAATCAATATGTACCATATTTATCAAATGGTAAGTATAATATTATAATTTCGTTATCATGTATTGTAATAATTATGTTATCTTTATATATAGGCATTGGTATGGTAGCATTAGTTCATGACAATGTACAGATGCCCATTATTGAGCTGACAGCAATGCTACTTAGTCCTGGAAAACATCATAAATTAGGATATGCAAAAAAAACTAGTTTATTTTTACCAGCACCTTATACACCATGCAACGATAAAGCTAATCTTGGAATGCAAGCAATGTTTGATCAATATCATGATGCTGATTATGGATATGCACAATTTCCATGTTATTTTGCTTGTATACAAGCATATACGTAAGTATATGATATTTTATAATTTCATATGAATGCGTAATGTATTTTAGTTACAAAAAATGTGGCTGTGGAAATCCTTATCGCTGGAATAATCGTGTAGTTGTACTTCCTAATACTAACACATCAATTAATATACAACTTTGTGATTTTGATAATCCATGTTATGGTGCAGCAGGAATAGAAATTATGAACACAGAAAGTATTTGGACTACGTTTTGTCCTGATTGTACACTAGAGTGTACATATTCTGAGTTTATTATTCAATCAACTTCAGTCTTAGCACCACCTTCCTACATGAGAGATGGTATTAAACAATTTGTTGAATCATCACAAGTTCCATTACCTAAAGACTGGAATACATCCTATGTGTCTGAGATTCAATCCAGTTTTGTTTCTTTAGAAGTTGCCTATGAAACAACTCGAACAGAAGTTTATTCACAACAACCAACAATGGCTCCAGTTGATGTGATTTCTAATGTTGGTGGACAAACCGGTCTTTGGATTGGTATTAGTTTTCTTTCATTGATGGAACTTGCTGAAATGATCTATCGACTTATACGTTCTCAATGTCATCGTCTTTGGACAAGAACATGAATATGAATGACTTTTATGTTACTTTTCCATTCTTACAAACTGATACATCCGCACTTATTTTCTCTTCTTTGTTCTTTAGATATTGTATTCACTTATCCGTACACAGGTATGCGAATATTTCACATACGTATTCATCAATCTTATTTTTACAAATAAATTCAGAATCACAAGAAATACGATAATGTTTCGTCAAGTACATACGTATTATAGTTTTTATTGAAAAAAGTATTGCCATCAAAACAAACATTGCTCATCTTGGTGAAAATCTGAGGCATTTGTGACTAGAAGAAATTTGTTTGTATTAGACTTAAATAATTAATACATATTACACATGTAGAGAAAAACAAACAAAAGAAAAATATGCACCGGTGAACGTGTACAAAATCGAGGTAGAAAAACAGTTCAAGAGAGAACATTTGTATCACAATACCAAAAATATAATACATCGATTCACCTATCTGAGATGAAGCCATGAGAAGAAGAAGACCAAAATAAAACAAAACAAAAATCATACTGCAATATCAGAGAGGCGTATGACGATGATGTCTATTTGATGATGATGTTAATGGTCGATAATCATCATCATCATTGCCTGAACTATTAGGACTCATGGGATGATCATCATCACTGGTAGGTGGGTAGAGAAGTGTCGATGATGATGTTGTTGCTTTGTCTGTACTACTACCACCTAACATGAAACGACGAAATCCATAACTACCCGATTTTGTTGTTGTTGCTGTTGTCGATGAAGACATCGATAGAAGAGGTACGCTCTTATCTGTTGTATCTTTTTGTATAGGTGGTTCAAGTTCAACAATTGTTGAACTTGAACCACCTATA